ATAGCAAAGTTACTCTGTGAAGTAAGTTTACTTTCCTGAGTAGTTGTAGTGTTCTTTTAGTTAAGGTTTCTTGTAATATTTTGGAGTTTCTTGTGCTGGAGGATTGTTTTGTAGAGAAATGTTCTTAAAATTACCAAAAAAGGCAATTTTTAAGAACTGATGGTTTTACGGGAAAGAGTTTTTATCTTTTGATCAATTATTAATTTTTATTTATTTTTATATTTATAAAATTAAATCCAGCTTATCTTATTAAAAGATCTATATATAATATATTAATAATATTCTATATTATAATATTAATAATTAAAACATCAAATTTGTAATAATTTTTCTGCTTTACTGCGTCATATTTTGTGTAACCAGAAACCTCTGAAACATTTTAAAATATCTTGGAATACTTTAAAATATTATAGAATTTTCTGGAATCTTGTAAAACATTCTGAAACCTTTTGAAATATTATGGAACTTTTTGATATATTATTATTTATTTATTATTAATTATATAATAAGTATATTTTTTGAAAAGTGTTTAATTTAGCAGATATAATGACATTGATATAAATGGTTTTTATGATATAATAAAAATAAGAAGGAATACAAGAGAACAAAAAAAAAAGAATTGTCATAAGCTTTTTTTTATGTAATCAAAAAATAAACAAGGCTTTTAAACTTGAATAGATTTTGATTAGAGGTTTCATTTTACTGTATCAGTTGTTTTGAAAGTTCTTAAGTTTTTAAGTTGAGACTTACTTGCAATAAAAAATATAAAACTTTTTTTCTTATTTAAAATTATTATAAAAAATTTTTTTTTAATAAAACAGATATAATCAAAAGAGATTTTTTTTAAAATACAACTGTTAAATATTTAAATAATATTAATGATTGTTTTTTAGATATTTATTAATTAAAGAGTATAATACTTATATATATATTTTTAATATATTAAAAGAATTATAAAATTTAAATAACAATATTTATATATGTATAAAAAATAATAATAAATAACCTGTTTAGCTATATAATAGAAACTTTTTCTATTAATATAATATAATTAAATGGCAATAAATATAAAGCAATTGATAAAGATATTTAAAATTAAATTAAATTGATTTTTAAATTTTTATAAAACATATATAGCTTAAAAATATAATAATTTTATTTACTATATATTATATCAATTTTTTAGATTATATACAGTAGTTAAGTATTTTGTTTAAAAGATATATAATTTTTAATAATTCAAAATTTATATATTGAAAAGGAAATTTTAATAGAGACAATTTTTATATAGGTAAATAAAAAATAAAAGTAGCTATAACAAATATTTTTAAAAATAATAACAATTATTTAAAAATTTAAATATATTAATATTGTTTTTTGCTAGTTAAAACATGAGTTATATAATATAACTATTTTATTAACTAAAGATATAATATATAATTTATCTCAAAACTTGATTAAAAAAAACTATAACTGTAATAAAAAAATAGAAAAAAGATAATTAAAAAAGAAATTTATATAAAATATTAATATACATAATTAATTACAAATTATATTGGCAAATATTTTAATTTAAAAAAATAGAATTATAGTTAACAATAAACTTTAAATTTAGTTATATAACAAATTAACTACAATAATATTATTTAAATTTAGTTATATAACAAATTAATTACAATAATATTATTTAAATTTAGTTATATAACAAATTAACTACAGTAATATTATTTAAATTTATTTTTTATTTTTAAAAATATATTATAAATCATATTAATTTAAATTGAATTGAATAATTAATTAAAAATATAATGACTTAAAATTAAAGTATATAAATATAATTTAAAATAATTAATTAATAATTATAATAATTAAAAAATTTAAAAATTTAAATTTAAAATAAAACAATTTAATAAAAATTATATTTATATAAATTAGTTTTTGATTTGAATTGATTTACAAAAAATTAAAACCAATTGTTTTTTAATAGTTTTGATTTTAGCTAAATCTGATTTGAATTAAACTATTATAATTCTTAATTATATTTTGTTTGATATGTTTTTTAATTATTCTTATTATATAGTTTGATAAGTATTAATAAAAAATATCAAAACAAAACATAAAATATATTATCTAATAGATATTTTAGATTGGTTAAATCAATTTTAATAACATTTATAAAAACCTTGTTTTGATAATGTTAAAGGTAATATAGTTGACAAAAATTAAATTTTTTAAGTATTAAAATAAAAAAAGAAATTTTTAATAAGTATTTATTATATCTAGATAAGTTGTTATTTGAATTAATAAAATAGGGTCTTTTTTTAGGATAACTTTTTTAATATCTTAAAAAATTTTTCATAAATTTTAATTATATAGTTTAAGTTGTATTTGAATTGCCAAAATTCTTAAATTAGCTAGGTTTTAGATCTATATCACACTATTCCTATATATGAAATAAGTTAAACCATAAGAATTTATTATTATTATTAAATAAATCTTAAAACTAGGTAATAAACTTGATATCGAGAACATTTATTGTATTAATTATTATAATTTTTTTTGTAAAATTGAATGTTTAAATGATTTTATATTTATTTATTTATTATTTTTGATTTTAATGTCAAAACAAAGTTGTCAACTTAAAAAAATAAAAGCATATTATAATTATAATTATTCTTATGTTAATAGTTAAGTTATTTGTTAAAATAGATTTAACATTAATGACATACGATTAAATTTATTACGCAAAGAAATCGACTACCTTGATTACCGATCCGTTCGATAGAGTTGAATAGATTTTGCAATTCGCATTACGTCTGTGTTTTTTGATGTATTACGATTGTGATCAATCAAAAAAATTTAAAATGTTTTAATATCTCGGGAACCTAATGATACTGTATTACGTGAATTACATGAGTAATCAATAAACAATTTTAGATGATCGATAATTTGATTTAAAACAAAAGATATAAGTTATTTGAAAAAAATTAGAATACAGAAAACTTCAATTATCAATCGTCAATTATCAATTACCAAGATGTGCGATTGGATTTTCAACAAATTGCTGGATTGAATGTTATTCAGATCGTTCAATTCGAGGAATTTTCAAAATTCCATATTTCAATTTATTAAAATAGATTGATGATTGTAGGAATATGCGAAGTGTGTTGTATATTATTGCGCGGATTATCCAAATCGTTTGATTTCTATGACATTTGTATATATACAGTATATATTGTCACATATGTGTCGCCTAATAAGACGATGATTGCGCTGATTAATCATGTCATTTTAAAAGAAAAATTATTGGCAAGAATATGATAAAGGAAATAAACAAAGGAATTAATAATTTGTCTAAAGTCACATTACAATGCAGTGAATTTTATTTTTTTGCACGGTGAAACTTTTTATTCGATTGTGTGTCATCAAGGATCAACGAAAAAAAAACAAATCAATATGAATGAGAAGTGGTTAGAATATATTTTATTTTTGAAAAAAATCAAATCCGTAAACGGAAAGAACTTCATTATTCAGTATAATTGAAGTTAAGATAGCAGCCTATTCATCATTTTACAATATCATCAACTTATTAACAATTGATTAATAATGAAGAATTGATTTTCATTGTACTGTACTGTATTATCTTACGGGAATTGATTTTCATTGTGCTGTATTATTTTACGGCAATTTTTTAAAAAATCTATTTAGATCGCGGGCTACGTGCGTACGATCAGTTATTTAAACACCATATACGGCGGCATACATGTTTGTATTAATGCTACGCGAGCGGAAAACCACCTCCGCGGTCTAAAGCAACAGCTTAAACTTTAAACCGAAGGAAATTTTAGAGAGGTTAAATGGTCATTATAGATCACTATTTATTTTATATACGTAAATTCAAACATCTTTATTTGTTCTCAATTCATCACACAATTCACGACACCAACCAAAAAAGCCGAACAGATCTCCCGCGTTTTCGTAAACATCGTCTGGAATCAACATCAGAATTTTCAAGCCCGCCTGATACGCATCACGTAGCGAGTGACGTGTGGCTATGATAACGATGAGAGCGGAACAGACAAGAATCACCCCCAAGAAGTAAAACAGAATCAGAAATGAACGTGCCAAAGAAAAGGTCAACAAACTAGGAAAATACACGGGGAATGATAAGACATTGAAGACGACATCAAAGTTGTCATGTGAACTCCTAGCACTATTGGAGTATGCGTTAATGAAGTATGAGATGGTTACAGGGAAAAGCAAAAACAAGCTAAATAAGACGCTGGGCAGAAAAAGAAGAATGAAGCATAGCGGAAATACTAAGAATGGATAGGCCAATTTCCAATAGTTGAAAGAGATCCTATTTCCTTTGAAATTTTTTTCATCTTCTATTATTTGAGAAAGTTTGTGAAAATGGAAGGTTACAACCATTTGATGAAATTCAAAGGTATCGATGAACGGTCTGAATAGCGGAAGATCATTGAAAATCTCGGTTTTCGACTCCTCGAGGTTAAGGTAGGGACAACATTGGTAAGGTAAATAAATGAGTGATACTAACGGAGAGATAAAATGGTAAGGATATTCTTGCCTTGAGAAATGAGTCATCAACGGAAGGACGAGTGTAAGGAATAGACTGTAGCCGATGAAAGTCAATATTCCGGCAGTGAAATATGACAGGATGATCACGGGCGAGAAGGCAATTAAGAGGTGTTTTACGTTGTTGCAAAATCGTTTAGTCGTTACTACGCAAATAAAGTAGTTAGGTACGAAACCAAAAATGGTAATCAATATGTTTGGAAAAAGACAGAGGAATGAAATCGGAATAAGATAAATTGTGAATTCTAAGGAGATAAGGAATAAACTCGTGATAATTCTGAGGTAGGATGATAGCATCGTGAATATTGTCGAGCGGTGTCATTTTCGAAGATAAAACAACGATAGATGTAGTTACCTGTGAACTATTGAATGGATTGCACGAGGCTGAGGGTCAATTGCTTGGATTTCGCGTTGCCTCTCGCGTTTGTTTATCGGCTTGTGAGGCGAAACACACCACACTACGGTAGCCACGGATTCCTAAATTGGACACAGTTCTTTTGACATATGCGTGATGTGTAGATGTTCTAATAATGATAAGGTTAGTACCTTCCAAGCTAAGACCAACTTCCACCCCGCGATCGGCCGTCTGCTCTGCGGGTTCAAGGGGTTTTTTTTAATTTAGGTTCATTGAGTAACATTACGCCATTCATTTTACAAATATTATCGTATTATTTCCTCCCTATCATCACAGTTGATCCGAAACTCCAAAGCTAAGTGAAATTTACGTTGGTGGGGTATGAGTCACATTTCTTTTTTGGAAACAATTTATAATGAATATTCGAATTAACACACAGTACTTTTGATTTATGCACAACGCGATGTGAGCTAAAAGTAATTTTTAATTGCGCACGGATTCAAGATTCAACAGCAAGGATAAACGTTTATCATATTATCTTGATGCCCAACTACAGTATTGACAATTGAATTTTAAAAAATAAGAATAAGAATTTTTTTTATTACAAACAACGGTTTAAAATACAATGGTGTACCGTATGTACTGTAATGATCGGTTACAAAGTAAAAGTGGTGAGTCCCCAAGATACAGTACTTATTCACTGATAGAATAATTTGTATTTTATGAAATAAATATTTTGACACGCAACTTATTGATGGATAGTTCTTACAGTGCTAATTGCTATTTTAATTATTTATCCTTATTGACACAAGGAAAATGTCTCACTTTACTATCTCAAAACCCAAAAGATTGGTTTTTGTCAGGCACGGATCCTCGTGTATTTTAATTTACTTTGTAATTGGTTTCATTTTTCACCTGTCATTGATCTGAGGAACTCGACTCAATCTGCGTTGTCACACAACACCAATGCCCCACTCCAACGGACATTCCTTATTTGATCAGATTTTACCGATGCCAAGTTTCAATTAGTGTTCCTTGTTGACAAAAATTTCTCTAATCGGTTGGTTTACATATTCTGTTTGATTAGTTTCAATCTCAAGAAGCTCGTTTTCATCATCACTTTTCTTGAACAAAAACAATGCCATTCTACATACTTGAAATGATCCTTTAACCACGGACCACCAGGCTTATAAAAGGTTGATGATTTCTAAGGTTTAGAGTCGAAGTTCCCGTTGAAATTGCATCCCAACTTCGTTCATCCTATCACGGATCAATTATGAATTTTCGCAACCCGTCACCCTACGATAATGAATGACCTTGCGTGTCAACCGCAATTTCATAAAAACTTCATCTAAGCTTTTTCATAAGCATATGAACCCGAAAAATCAATAATTCCTGTTGAAGATAATCTATGCTTCTTTAAAAATAAATACGTTCATATTATCTTCTTTTAATAATTTCGATTAAACAACGCCAAAATATAATTGGATTCCTTGTCGATTTCATTTTATTTCGTAAAAGAACGAGTCACATTTATTTCCGAAGCCTAACCCTAATAACCCCTTCGTTTATTTTATTTTATTTTATTTTATTTTACTTTACTTTATTTTAAACGACCAAGGTTTTCTTCTTTTTTTCGCTTTTCGTATCTTTTTGTTTCCTCGAAATCTTTTTTTTTTTTTTCCATTGAAGCCACATAAATTTATCGTTTCCCGAAAATGCATTATTTACGTGTAAAGATTTAATATTGTCCGATATAGTATTACGTATTACAAATCCCCTTAGCATGATCTTCATTACACCGTATTTGTTTTTTTACCAAAAACATTGTAGAGTTTACCTACATAATAGTAAATAATAGTATGAATGACGATAAACACAAAAAAAAATGTTATATAATAAAGTTTTAACAGGTGAATAAATCATCCTTGCGAAACGAGCAAAATTCAAGAATGCTGAGTGAACTTGCCGGAAATCTGGCAAAACGAGAAAAGTGTTTGACGTTCATCAAATGCAAGGGATAGTCATGTAACATGTAACATCAGGATTGACAAAAATAAATATGCTCGATGTTTCGCCACCAGAGTTGCTTCTGATCATTCTCCACTCATTCACTTTGAGCGATTCCTAAAGCATCAGGTTAAATAAGGTGATTAGAAGACGGTGAATAATTTTTTCGGAAAAATATTTCTCACTTTTCGGGTGTCCCATTATGCAGTACTGCATTAAAAACTTTACAAGAAAAAACTGCAGCCCATCCACCCACACACATACAATACAGGATGTCCTTCTTAAAAGATATTAAATTTTATGTTCATCTCTTCAACATCTTGGAACTCATCGTGTCCACAACATGCCTCGTGTTTGGTATGTACGTGCATTCAGAAACCTGGATGTCATTCGTGTGCGTCAATAATCCGTGGTCCTATTTTATTTCAGAATCAATCTTCATTAACGCCTTCTTGATATACAATCCTAATGTTGATTCTTCGTCTTACTATAACATGTAAGTTTTTCATACCGTATGTCTCGCGTGCCTCGATTGTCTTCCTCGATGAAATTAAAGCTTATGAATTTAACGTGCAGATTGACCAAGCCCGCATACCAATGTTTCTTTGGCACGGCCGTACTCTTCGGTTTACTAGTAAGCGGTGAGAATATTTGTGATTTACCGTCCTCCTTTGATATGCAAGTTTTCAGCAACCGATCTCTTTCTCTTCTTGCATCATCAATTTCATCAGGATTTTACGGACTGGGCTTCAGAAGAAGGCTTAATAATAAACCGAGCAAATGGGATATCGGCATTCAAATGTAAATTTTTAATTCGTCTTCTACTTTTTTTTTTTGAAAGGTCATTCCATTTACTTCATTTCTATTTGCAACGTTCAATTCTCCAGATTTCTTTTTTCTCTCTGGATTTCGTATGGTAATCACACCTCAGCATCGAACCCATGTTCACATTTAAAATACTAATTTTCTCATCTTTTTTTTTTCTTTCTTTCAAAAAACCTAGGCTCAACCAAATCTGCATTTTTCCAACTTTTAGGGTTATCGGAGCTCTCACAACCCATCTCACTAAATATCACCGATCCGAAGTATAGATACGGATTAAATGTGTTTGCGCGTATCGGCTACTCCTGCTATATCGCCACAATCTGTCTAGGTTTTGGAAATGCCATATTTTACGTGGTATCCGCGGTGTTGGTGTTCCATTGGAGGAAGAACATGTATAGTGTTGTTGATAAGGATGAAGTTCAAAGTGTTGTCAATATGGACGAAATTCCAAACGCTAGTGCCGTCGACCGAGATCATTAAAGATCAAATGAAATAACTCTAAAATTTTTTATTTAAAGCACAAATTATTTTTCAAAACATTTCATTTCGTTAGAATTCAATAGATGTTACAGAATATTCATTAATTTATTTAATTAGAGATTGAAAATACACTGTATCTACCCGAAAATCAAAATAAAAGAGACAAGAAATCATACAGAGATCAGAGGTTCTTCTTAATTGATTGATTGTGCATCATCTCACCAACAAAACACTGGAAGTATCATTCCATCAGTAAGTACAACTGAAAAAACGAATGAATTCAACAAAAGCAACAATATCCAATATTGTTATGAGAAGTCATTTGATAAATAAGATTGTTAATCAATCAAATTAATCAATCCATTAATTAATCCTCATTCTACATCATAATATTATCATATTATCACTGCAATCACAATAATAATAAAAATAACCATAAGAATTTTTTTATCAAATAAAAAAACACAATCCCTTCTGATTGTATTATTGTACATGTATACATTTGGTATTTTTAATTTAAACATATCACAAATATATTGTATATTTTTTTTTATAGTCATTACAAAAATCTTCTAAATTCAGATACAAGTTGACATTTCAAAGTTATCATACAATATATCAAAAAAAATTGACATTTTAAATTTTGCATGCATTTATTTCTTACATCATATACAATATTAATATGAAATATCTTTAATTTACAAAAATAAATAAAATCAAATAATTCCTATTAAAAAGAATTTTTAATAAAATTGTAAACTGATTATTTATTGTATTTATTTTTAAATATGTTTTTATCAAATTGAAACTACCATCATCAAAATAAAAAATACTATAGTATATAAATTTTATTAAATTGTTTATATATTTCAAGTTATATTATAATACTATTAAACAAAATATTATAATTAACAAATAATTTGTTCTTTATATAACTAATTTATTAAATTATTAATTAATTAATTTTTTTTAACCTATGGATCTATAACTTAATGATAAAGCTTTATAGATTATTAGATAAAAGTCTAGGATTTAAATCTACCTGATTACAAAAAATTTATTACCCTTTCTTTTTAATTAGATAAAACTTCTGATTTTTTCAATAATCATAAGGTTGCAATAAAATCACAAAAAAGAAAATAATTATATAAAGAAAAAATTTTGACTTAATTTCAGTTAAACTTTACAATTTGTTATATAGCAAATTTAACTTCATATTTGAATATACAAACAGGATTGTACTTTATCTTAATCAATTTCAATTACCATCTTTTAAAGTAAAGCACTAAACTAATATCACTTATATGAAAATATAACAATTATATAATAAGATAAAATATATAAATATTGTACTCTACTTAATATTTATACTTCTATATTTGACAACTTATGCCAACCAGTTCAAATCTGAAATATCTACTAAAAGTTTAAAAAGTATTGAATTGTCTACATTAGAGTAATACAAATAAACAGATTAAACCTTTAAGAAGTTATACTTTACTTGACTATTGGTTTTTTAAATTTGATAATTAATACTAACCAATAATTAAAATCAATATATTTACTAGAGAGTATATACTTATATCAAAGATATTCATTACTATATGTATTGCATAAGCAAAAAATATAATATAATAAATAATTTATATATAAATAATTAATAGTATATATATAAGACATACTGTATAATAAGCTTTATAAGTTAGATAGTTTAAAACTAGTAATAGAATTTCTATTCCTATAGCATCCTGATATTATAAAGAAAAGTTATCAAGTAATAGATTTCTGGATATCAGATAAATAAAATTGATAAGCTAGTATTTAATTATAGTTATATATTATAAAAAAATATTTGATATAATAAAATTTATTTATTTTTTTTTTAAGTAGGTAAACATTATCTCTTTATTTATTGTAAAAATTTTAAATTATTTTATATATAGAAAGTGACAACATCTTTCATATAACCAATTGATCAGTGAGTTTAATGTTAGCTTGCCTATAGAAACTATCTAAGCAACATAAAAAATAAATATTAAAACCAATGTACATCTTAAATAGTGCCAAGCAACTATGAATACCTACTTAGATTTATATATAAGACTATAAGAAATTGAAAATTGAAAAAAAAAAAAAATACTAAACAAAAAAAATAAGTACAACAACACTAATTGTGAAGCTATAAATGTTTCGAATAAAATCACTGAGTGTGCCATACTGGTAGTTTCATTTAACTAAAGTACTGTTGCACTTCCAAAAATAATCAGGTTACTGTCCAAAGTATACAATAGTGTTAATAGCATATCTTTTTAATAAATGATTGGTTATAATGGTAGTATTGTTATTGTAGTGATATGATTTGTAATTGGTTTGTTTGTTGATAATATGATTTTGTTTTGATTATTGTTACTATAAAAGGTTTTGTTTATATTAATTATAGTATAGTGTTTTGGTTATATAGATTTGTTTGGAAAATTGATAATGTTTAATTGGTTAAGTTTGAAATGTTAATCAATTGACAGAAGTAAACTGATTGCAATTTTTTGGTGAAAAATTTTTTGAGTGAGATTTTTTGGTTTTTAGTGGTGCAGCAAAATATGTTAAGTGATAGTGAGAAGTAAATATTGAATATATTGTTAGTGTTCTAAATCAACAAATTAAACAATTTTAATGTGAAGTCTGATTTTTTAAGATAAAAGGAAGTCCTCCAAACAGAAAGTATAATTATTTAAAAAGATTTGTATATTGTAAAGAAAAAAAAATAAAAAGAACTCCAAGAAAGATTTATAAAGAAGTAACTGCCACAGGCCTTTCCTCATGCAATCCAAAGAAAAAGCAAGGTTCCCAAACTTGCTTTTCTTTGGTTAGAGATTCCATCCCATTTATACATGTTGCTAAAATTCATAGATCCTTGACGCAATTGATGCAATTATTTGATGCAATTAATTGAGACACTATTAAAACATAAATAATTGAGTTATGACGCAATTATTTTTGAGGATTTTGGGAATTGAGTCAACAGCAAAATAATTTATACCACATGTATAATCCTGATGCACCAATATACTTCTTTAGTTTTCTTGAGACTCTTATAGTAAAGAAAAAGGAAGTGTGAAGGACTTTTGGATATTGAAAGGTGAAAAAAATATTTGTATCTTTAATTTTGAAAAAAAATTACTATAAAAGGAAAATTTTAAGAAAAAAGTTGTATACGGGAAAGAGTTTTTTTTTTGATATAATAAAATTTATATATATCAATAAAATTTATATTTAATACTATTTAATTTTAATAAAAAAAATTATTATTTTTTCAATAAACAAATATAAAATATATAATATTATATTATATAAAGAATATTATAATAAAAGTAATTTATAAATAGTTTATATCTGTTTATAAGCAGCTATATTATAAAAGGGATATTATAGCAAAAGCAAGTTATAAATAGCTTATATCTGTTTATAAACAGCTATATTATTGTAAACATTAAAAAAGTATTTATATAACTATAATAAATATTAAGAAAATAATATATATAATTAGTATAAACAATAGGAAAATAATATTCATAGTTTTATATTCAAAACTCTTTTTGCTGATCCTTTTGCCAATTTAAAAAATAAATGTTCTCAAAAAACTTTTTGTCTTTATGATAATAAAGTCTATACACTTTTCTTAACAATACTGGTTTCTTAACCAGCAAAGCAAGCAGAAGTTATTACTTGTTTTATTTTTTCTTTTCAAAACACTTTTCTTGTTTATTTTGGTGACTAAATACAAAAAACCTATCTAAAAGTTCTATAGCAAGAATACTTTTCTAGGAAAAAAACTAATAAGAAAAAATATTCTTCAAAGACTTCCAAATGATTCAAGAATCCAAAGAAACAAGACCAGTCTTTCCATCATTTCTTTGGCTTCTCTTTTCTTTTTTTTCAAGCATACTTCCTTTTTTCTGATTTTTTGGAAGAATTTTGCTTACTTCAGTTTGACCTTGAAGTTTTGATTATATCTAATTTCTTGAAAGATAATTGGTTAAGGCTATGGATTGATTGATCACGTCAGCCTTAAAAAAAATAAACAAGACATATACTCCTCACATGTTCCCAGTCATGCAACATCAAACTGATGATATGATTGATTCCTGAAAAAGTTGAACAGTTTTTGGTTAAAAGAGTAGTATGGGAGTATTAGGTGAAGTAGAAGTTGTAAGTAGAAAAGGAACAATTTCTTTTTGCTCCTATCCTTTTATTTTCTTTTTTTCTTCCCTATTTTTTCTTGAGGACAGAAAGTAGTAACAAGGTCTAACATCAAGAAATTTTTTGAACAGAGGAACTCTGCATATCTTCACCGTCATTAGAGATCTCCGGAGAATCAAAATATATATATATAAATTTCAAAAATCTTTGAAAATTTATTTTCTCCAGAGATTTTTGAAGGTTTTCAAAAGTTATTAAAATATTACAAACATTTGCGAAAACCTTCAAAAATCTCTGGA